CAGACGCTGGTGCGGAGTGAGAAGGTGTTGGGGCCTGAGCATCCCGATACGCTGACAAGCATGAGCAACTTGGCGGGAGTGCTTAATAAGCAGGGCAAGTATGAAGAGGCCGAGGTGATGAACCGGCAGACGCTGGTGCGGAGAGAGAAGGTGCTGGGGCCTAATCATCCCGATACGCTGACAAGCATGAGCAACTTGGCGGTAGTGCTGGACAGGCAGGGCAAGTACGAAGAGGCCGAGGCGATGAACCGGCAGACGCTGGCGCGGAGAGAGAAGGTGCTAGGGCCTGATCATCCCGATACGCTGACGAGCGTGTACTGCCTTGCTTATCATCTTTCGGAACAGCATTGCATCGATGAGTCTTTACGTCTATATCAGAGGGCATCCGCTGGGTATAATACCACCCTTGGAAAATATCATCCAACGACTGTGGCGTGTCAACAAGATTATGCTATGTTGTGCGCGTTACAAGAGCAGTATCAGCTTGCCTATTCTCCTACTACGCTAGACAGCGGTGCAGAAGAAACATCTACGAGGAAGACATCACGACTGTCACGCGGGCTAGCAATGATTGGAATCAGGAGCTGGAAGCATCAAAGAAGGTGAAGGCATTATATGTGTTATCATGACATTGCATTTTAATAGTTCTTATTAATATTACTTCTATATTCCTTGCTATTGCTATAGCGTTGATAGCCTTTCTCTCTGTCTAACTTATATAGATAAGAGCAACACCTTATAGATTGCTACTATGTAACGCACTTCGTCTTCCTCTAGTATTGCTATGGAATCTAAGTCACAGCTTGTTGGTCCCTCGGTGCTGCACTTGGTGAGTATTCAACATTGTGTCTATCTTATATTGGTAGTAAGGAGGGTTAGTTATATCATGTGTCTCCTGTCAAAACGGATTCGCGATCTATGCGCTAGCTGTTTAGGGAGAACCCTGGTAGCTATTTTTAGGGGCCGACTCTAGATAGGCAAAGCGCACATCTTATTACAATACGATACACAGATATCTGAGCACGCTACTGCACGCTACTGTACGCCAAGGACAGCAATAGCCTTGTATCTGCGCAGACACGCTTTGGCGATCTTGCTATTCGCGCAGAGAAACTACCGGAAGATAGATTTTGTATCTTAGATTGATTTGCAGAGCCTGCGAGCTTAATCTCTAAAATATAGACTCTCTTACTAGACTTCCGAATAATGAATAGAGACCAGTTATTGCAAGTTGACAGGGGTTTTCTAGAAGAGGTTGATCGATGGTAGTAATAGATCAGCCCGTAGCAGATCCAACCCTTTGCTCTTCTCGGTCGGAGGCTAACATATTAAGAGAGCAATAGCTGCAGAATCGATGCGCGCTAAGCTTGACTTTATGCAGTGACACTGGCCTGACGCTGAAGGTCCGGATCAAAAAGCGTCCCGTCACACAGGATGTCCCGCAACGCGGGGACAGACGTTAACCTAGCTGTCTATTTATTGTGACAAAGTGAATGTCAGATGTAGTAGTATCGCGGTAGGAATAAAAGTTTCAACCGACTTCAAACCGTCAGCATTGTGCGATTCGATTTCACCGGATTACCAAGAGTTTTGCTAGCGTGATGATGAGGATGGAGCCGGAGCAGCTGTGATCCCGCCTTCCAAATATTTCTGCCACCGTGTGACGACTGGACTGAAGTTAACATCAACGAGAAACTGGTCCCTATCGTTGCCAAGGTCTCTGGTAGCGTCTTCGTCGGCCCAGAAATATCTAGCCATCCTAACTACCTCGATGCTGCCTGCATGTACCCCGTGGATCTGTTTAATGCCGTCACCGCTGTCAAGAAGATCAACCCATGGCTGGAGCCCTTTTTGGCCCCACGCACTCCAGGGGTTCTTACACTCTGTAAACGTGAACAGCAAGCCAAGAATGTCCTACGCCCTATCATCGAGCAGCGAATCGCAGTCAAGGCCAAAGACCCCGAGTGGAAGGAGCCAGAAGACGTACTGCAATGGATCATCAACAGGAGTATGGGCAAGGTATCTATCGACGACATCGTTGGTAGCCAACTTACGTTGATCTTTGCCGCTATCGACACTACCAGTACTACCGTTACCAACACCATGTTTACCCTCGTCTCCAAGCCAGAATATATCAAGCCTCTCCAGGAAGAAATTCGTTAAGCTATCGCTGAAGAAGGTGGCGTCACCTACTGTGCAGTCCAAAAGATAGAAAAGCTAGACAGCTTCATGAAGGAGGTTCTCCGATTCCACGGTCCTGGTCTCAGCAAGTTTGAAAGAAAACCTAGCTCTTAAATCCCATGAATCCTTTTTGTTCGATACCAAAAGAAGCACAGCAACTAACGTTTTTCTCTCCCAACAGCTGGTATGCTCCGCCGCGTGCTCAAGGACATAACTCTCAGCAACGGCCAATACATTCCCCCTGGCGTCATGATCGAAATTTCTTCCCAAGCCATCTACCGCGACGACCAATTCTACCCGGATCCTGAGGTCTTCGACGGCTTCCGATTCTACAAGGCGCGCTCGATCGGCAAGGCCGCAGATATCGCCCGCAACCAATTCATCACCACCAACGAGGAAAACCTTGCCTTTGGCCACGGCAGGCACGCGTGCCCCGGTCGCTTCTTCGCTGCGCTCGAGATCAAGATGATCATGGCTCGCTTCCCGCTCGACTACGACATCAAGATGCACAATGGCCAGACGGAGAGGCACCCCCAGATCGGAATGAGCAGGATATCAATTCCTTATCCTGTAGGACAGCTTCTCTTCAAGAAGAGGACGGCGACTTAAGCTCGGAATGGTTTGTTGCGGGGGTAAGAGGGGTTAAATCATTACCCCAGGTGGAAGTATCGTTCGACTGAGGTCTCAGATACGAGTAGGGTTTCTTGTATTGTAGAAGAGAAGCATGCAAATTTTCATAAGTGTTTTTGAATCATGTTAGTATAGCTTGAGATCCTTACACCCCATCTGCTATCAACGTGGAGAAGGTGAAGGTGTGAAGTATTTTCGTAGATAGGCATAAAATGTATTCGTTAGAATCAGCGTTACCTGGTAGGTTTACAGCGGGTATTCTAATCATCTCATCATAGGCAATGCGCCTAACGCGGTATTTGTACTGCTTCCAACGCTTATTATAGCGGAAGCCTTCAATACTCTCAACGAAGTAATATTTACTAGATTTGGTTCCCTGATGCAAATCTTTGCTTTTTTTTAAATTGTATCAGCCGCATGTTGTTTGCGTCATTGGTCCCGGTCAGGGTATCTTGGTAACAGCTATTTATTATTTTTTATCTTTAACGAGTATAACACTAAGTATTACTGGATTAAGTACAATGTGACTAGCGGCACATGCCATTCGGCTAAAAAAAATAATGTCCAAGGTCGATAGCGATATTAGGTGGAGATTTTCGAGGAAAGATTACATAGACCTACGCAACGGCCCAACCTCTTAGGACATAATTTTTCAAGAAGGAGAATTGAATGATATTTGGTTGCTGGTGATGGTGCTGGTGCTATCCAGATTTTGATCCCTTATTCGCGTTGCGCTAAGACTAAATCTGCAAAATGCCATTGGCCTTGGACGCCTGGCAGATGGGACCAAGGTTTTTGGAAAGTTTGTTACCAGTCAGCACAATGCTCTGGAGAGACTTGCTGGCGCAGAGCATCTCAGGAACAGTACCAGTCAGCTTGTTGTTGGAGACATCGAAGAGTTCGAGGTTGGGGAGGTAACCGATGGCATCAGGAATGGAGCCGGACAACCTGTTCCCGGAAGCTAAAAATTCCTTGAGTTGTATAGCAGAGGCCAGGGAGTCAGGGATGGAGCCCGAGAGGTGGTTGTTGGCAAGAACAAGGTATTCGCCGGGGAAAGAGCCAATGGTGTTGGGAATTTGGCCCGAGAACTTGTTGTCGTTTAAGAAGAGGGCATCAAGACTAGGGTAGGCGGTGAAGACATTGTCAGGGATGGCACCGCTGAACTGATTGAAGCGGAGATCGAGGAACCCTAAGAGGTTGGCCCTCAGCACACTCTGGGGGAAAGGTCCAGAGAATTCATTGTTGCTCAAGTCGATCTCGTACAGGTATTGCAGCCTGCTGAGATCGGGTACCTCGCCACTGAAACCATTGCCATTGGCATGGAAGAGGGCAAGGTCAGTAAGCTTGTCGATAAAGCCAGTCAATTTGAGGTTGCCAGCCAGTCCAAACTCATTGAAATCAATGGAAGCGAGGCCCAAAGCGTTGGTGTTGGGGACGATATCGCAGTAAAAACCACTCCACGAACACAAATCAGAGCCCGCTGCAGTCCAGTTGGAGAGAATCTGTTGAGGGCCAGATACGCGCTTGGCAAAGGCTTTGGCGGTATGCAAGTCGCGCAACAGGTTGGCAGGTATGTCCGCCGCCTCATCAGGTGGTGCAACGTTTTTGCCGGGAGCAGCTTGAATAAGTGCTACAAGGCCGGAGAGAACGAGTGTCAACATGTTGTGATGCATCTTTAATGATAGTATGATGTCGGTGAGGCGACTCGAATAGAATGAAGGACTGGACAGTTGGAGATGGATGTGTTATGCGTTTTTCTTCTGGCACAATACTCAAGTTATATATGAAGAGCAAAGTTGAACAATGTCCCCAACTTACTGAACTGTGTGATGTGAGGCGTTGTAATACGCCCGAAATGAATACCCGAAATGTGTGCTGATGATCCAGGTTATCATGTAATACTGCCGTCTTTGGGTATAGCGCCCTGGCGAAGGTCTCACCACTTGCAGGTAGTTACCGCTCGCAACCAGACATCTTAACTTTGAACGTCATGATCCTTGTAGTTGGCGTTAATGTCTCTCTGGTGGCCCTAGTTATCTAAACTTCAAGAATCATCTCTAATGAAGGGAAAACATCAGTCCGGCCCTGTGGTAAGAAAGAGATGTGATAAAGGTTTCACATATAGGGTCGAAACGGGTAGCCGGCGCTGAAGCAATGCTAGTATATATTACAACAGCGCAAATCGGCAGCAATGCATAGATTATGGCTGTCATTGAATGCATCTTACGCAATAATGCATCAAGATCTGTTCGTCTACTGATACTTAGCTGTGCTTCGACGAACGAACAACGTCGAAATTTCAGATCCTAAATCCAGCTCGTGAGTGAGACTGTCAGCTTGTCATCTCATGATAGGCTGGTCCAACTGCTGACATGAGATGCTCTAGCACTCCGAAGTTCGCACGAAAGACCCTAAAGGTAGCTGATCTTACACAGGAGGATATGAACATTGAGGGGGTCGATACGGGTGGAGAGATGGCTTGTGCCAAAAAGTTCACGGGTTAGATGGTAGATTCAAACTATAGCTGTCAGAAGCTCGCTATATCTGAGGTTTATTGTTAGTGATTACTACGGCGTTCGTAGACCACATTCAATCCTCTAGTACCTTTGTCTAGCAAAAGCAACGCATCATGTTGTTTACATGTTCTGCTGCTGAAAATGTGAAGGCGAGGGGTACAAAAAGGGGTGGGAACTGGAAAGCCTAGGAATCATTGCATGCATATGTACACCCACATGCTTGTGAAGCTGAGATTGCTAACATTAGCAACTGACCCATAGTTTAGTGCCTCGGTAAATTCCGGATAAGCATATCAGCGGCCTTTTGACTAAGGTTGCCCCATGCTCAAGCTTTTTTTGCAGAGCCATGGACCAATCAGGGTTATATTAATCCAAGAAGGTACAGGTGAAAGCAAAGACGGCATGTGCAAGCAAGCACTGCAGATATCTGGAATTAGGATGGAGTTTTCACTAACAAGCTGTCCAAAGATCAGTTTGGAAAAAACGGACCGATCGGCGGAATTACTTGGGCGGACCGGAGTCTAGCCAAATAAACAGAAGCTAAATTCCACAAATAGTACATCATGAATGCCCAGGCCATACCACATCACCGTGCGATATCGTTGGAGAATGCTGCTTTCTTCACGAAAATCATACCGATGCAATAATGCAGCCCGATTACATTTGCTGGACCAAACATAGGGCAAAAAACTATATATGCGCACTGGGTATGAATCCTCGCTCACGAATGTTACCGCTCAAACAAATTGGGGAATTCCTTGAGACACCGGGCTGAATGAATTTAATCTCCTTGAGAATCTCAGCCACAATGCGCTCCCGCTCCTCTTTACACGCTGCATCTGTCACCAGCGGACTCGGTTCCTCGATCATGCAGTTGTTTAGATACTTGCCATGCGTCTCCATGCCCGAAGAACCTGCGTGCACCAGTGTTCTACTGGCCACCTCTGTCGAGCGTGCCACAAGCAGCCCGAAGAACCAAAACCCCCAGCCTGTAACATCACATGTCAGCGTTGACCAGCACAAGCCTGGGTTGACAATGTTGATGGTAACAGGAAACTCGCTAGCTGGATGATGGTCAGCAATGGCGCGCACAGTTAGCAGCTGTATGAGCTTAGATATAGGATACTGTTGTGACCAGTATTTCTTGCATGTCTCTCTATCTGACAGCGCAGTCAGAATCTGGCCATCAGGGGCGGAGCTCTGGGAAAAGGTCGTATGGTCGTAGGCGGCAGACCCCGTAATGGTGAACGTGGGTCGAGTATTGAACCGGGTAGCTGTATCACACATCTTAGGCATCATATTAGCAATCAGCAGTGTTGTGGCGACGAGGTTGACAGCTATGCCTTCTTCGTGCCTATTAACTTCATAGTACTCAGAGCGGACCACACCGGCGTTAGCAATAAAGATGTCGATACGCTCTAGCTCGGCTCCAGCGCGGTTCACAAACGACTTTACGCTGCTATAGTCGCTCATATCAAGCTCCCAAACCTCGGTGTTCTTATGTCCCGTTGTACGCACAATGTCATCACTCGCTTCTCTGCCCTTGTCGACACGGCGCACTGCGAGAATGAGCCTGCTAGCGCCCATTCGCGCGTAGTGTCGCGTTGCTTCCTTTCCAAGACCGACGTTGCTACCCGTGACAATGGTAATTTTTCCGCTGAAGTTTCCCTTGGGATACGGTGGCGTCCTAAAGAAGTGGCTGTACAGGAAACCCGTCTACGGCTTTGATCGCATCAGGCACGCTGTATATCACGCCAGAACGTCAGTACGAATACTTCATTCTCAACAAACACATATACATGAGTAGTTATACATGAGTAGTGTTTCACCGACCTGAACGTTTGTCCCGTAAGAACCACTGCGCCACCTGCGCGACAAGTTTAGAGTGTTTGCGCCAGTACAATGCCCCGCGAGTTGTGTGCCCGCATCAATGCATACTTGGCCGCGCCAGAATCGGGATCGATGTGCCATTCTTGCGAGTGAAGAGCATACGACATGGCAGCCGCAATCTGAGGACATCCTTTTGGTATGCCCGATGTGCCTGACGTAAACATTATGGAATTGATACGATTCGGGTCATGGCGCCGTGCTGCTGAAACCAGCGATGCGTTGTCCGGAAGTTCTTGAGAATTTGCATGTGCAGCCACCGCGACGAGGCTTTTCCATCTCGTAGATGCTAAAGCTAGATCTGACAGACAAATCCGTACCGGCTGGGGCAGTCCAAGTTCCGATGAGGCGGTGTCGATCACCTTTCCACTGCCCGTGTCGGGTACTACAACAAGCTGAGGCCTTGTCGTTTGTAGTGTCCGTTTAAGTGTCGTGAAGCTGGAGATGTTCAGGAAGCCTGGATCTATGTTTACACACGTGATGCGCAACAGTATGCAGGCCCAAAGTAGAATGGCATACTTAGCACCATTAGGAATGAGCATGATCATAGTTGTGTTCGGTTGAACACCCACAGTAAGCAGCCCAGTAGCAACTCTCAGGGCGGTGCGATGGAGTTGTGTATATGTAACCGTGAAAGTAGTGCTTTTCTCCTCTATAGCAGGGCTGCGAGGACAGATTTTCTCAATTTTTTCGATTGATTGTGCTCGGTTTCAATCTTCATTGCACAGATTTGGCGTTGCACAATGGCGCAGAAATCTATTGCCCTCATTTTCTTCGCTAGCTTCAGAACAGGCCGTAGTAACCCAGTTTTGAATGCTGGCTGACTGTTCCATCAAGCAGACCACTGCTGGTCCATGTGGATTTCTCATCAACCCGCGCTCGACATGTTCAAAAATTGACAAATTGAAGCCATGTTTTGCTCTCGATTCCAGCAAGAACCTCTTCATCTTCAGTCAGCAAATCGGCTATCTGCAATCTGTTCCCCGGACGGGACTGCAAGGACAGACAACCAAACGTAAGAACCAAGGCGCATATGATCAAAAAATAATACTCCATCGCAATCGCAACGAGGAAGAGGCGATTTTTGGATTTTTGGATTTTATTTGTAGTAGAGACAGCAAAATCTATAGCGTATTGAAAGAGTCTGATAGAATGCAGTATCTTGCTAGTTACAAAAATATTGCGGTCATACTAGACCTAGCTCCGCTACTCTGAGTGTCCCCCATGGAACCAGCGTCCATGCGATGAGAAGGGGTGAAGAATTATATGATCCATGCATACCTTACTGATTGACTGGTGAGGATTGATCAGCCACGCTCGAGGGTCGGAAGTCGGGTATCGGACATTGGACCTTGGCGCGGGAATTGGGAGTCAGGATACTTACTATGTTCTTATTGGCTTGCACTTCAACATCCGATCTAAGCTGAGTCATAGGTAAAGCTCCTGGCTGCAACTGGGAGTGATTAACCAGCATTTCATGTAAGCTATCGAATTCGGCAATTTCTATTCAAATGACCTCCATCATTGATACTGTATGCAGCCTTGGTTTGATCGAGCGCCGGAATGGGATGCAAACCTGGTGTGTATCACGCTGAGAATTACCAAGTTTTGCAAAGCAGAGTTACAATTCGTCAGATTGCAAGCGAGACCAGATCAGAATAGCTATATTCCAAGCTTTATATTGTAATATACCAAATCTATGAGACATTGGATATTACGACAAAATACAGGAATCTGCCGATTATTCCCTCTCTTTGACCACAGCTTCCGGTAATCCATAATTCACAATATTCCTTTGCCCTACTAGTGCCACGATGTGGCGACAACACCAAGAATAGTCCCAACTAAAGGGAATGTAGATCTCATAGCATGCATGAAACTCCACCAAACGACGAGCTCTTCAGCTTCCTTGATCCCCATTATGTTGACACCCCCGGCTTCTTCCAACTGAATCATTCTCGTCACGGATTCCATACGGAATAATTCATTATTTGTAGGCTTCATGATGATTAAAGTGAACGGGATGATGCTCACAGTTGAGAGGCTGGCGAGTGCAAGCAGACGCCATAGTTTTGACGTTACAGCTCGGCGCCTTCGGAAACATACCAAAGCGTACAATAAAAAAGTCCCGACAGCCATACCTGGAAGCACCTGGTTCCCGTAGTTATATAGGCGTGTCCATTGACGAAGGAGCTGGGAAGCATCAGCTGTATTCTCCATGAGTATGGGAATGGTTATAGCGGAAAGTGATATCATAGATCCTGCATCATAAAAGTAAGAATGAATTGCATTCTTGAGGACGAATTGGGGTGAACATACCTGAGAGAAAAGATCCAAGTATGATCGCAGCGGCTTGCAGCTTCGTTGTCATTGTTTTCTTGGAAAGACGTGCTGTTGCGCTGTCTTCTACCAATTCTCCATCCTCGATAAGATCTGTAACCCATCCAATCGTCATCATGCTCCTTTGTGTATCCGCAAAATTGACGTGATCTCCTGAAATTTGCTTTCTGTACAAAGCGTTTTCCCTCATTCGCTTGTAGTCATCAATGCTCTTGAACGTCACTTGGCTGAAGCAGTCGAATTCGGCCAAATTGACCATGTGCTCATCGAAGAGTTGTCGCATGAGATTACGAGTTTCGGTCGTGTTGTGAAGCTATTTGATGCTTTTTAGTTCACCACAACGTCATACCCTCGGATTACTTACCATTTTCCACCCAATGATTCCATGTTTTACCATTAACTCTTTTGTCATTGGTCCAGAAACCTGCGTCATGTAATGTCGATAATCCTCCTCGCTCATTCCTGGACGGTGGTGTCCACAAATGGTGAGACAGAGGAGTTGACCATTGATACCTCCTATTGGTGGGGCCGGTAGATCGTGCTCGTTAGACATGATGTAAAGTAGCGGATGATGATGTGGTTGACTACTTTGAGATGAACAAAAGAAGATATTAGAAGTTTGTCTTGTTTATATGTCAATGCACATGATATTTCCGAGCTCCGACGCCCGGAAATATTGTCGGTGGCTAGTTCGACCGATATAATGTTACATTTGGTCAGCGATTTGCTGCAGGAGCACGTGGCGCATAGGGTTGCTGCCGATTCCAAAAATTGCACCACCAACGGTTGTTCTCGTCTTCTTTGGTTCGTCGCATAATTTACAGCATTAAGTATCGATGAGCACGCGTCACAGCATATCTACTCCGTTTTTCCAGAAGAGCAACCAAGTGAATTTGTGAAGAGAGATTTATGGGAACACAGAGTCGTAAAGGTACATTTTCAGAATAGAAACAAGCGCCCAAATCTAGCTATTAGCGTTCCACAAACCATGCTTTCGACTAACTGTAGATTTCTTCCAGCCATGCACGCAGATCTCTAATAGTCGGGTATTCAAGGAATAGACTCCCACTCATCACCACACCCAACCAATCACCAAACTAAACAGGAAGAGTCAATCCCGATATTAGCAAAGTGTGCATTGTCAGTGAGGTCCGCTAGATCTAGTGCAGATTCTTCAGCATACTTCATCTCGAATAGCAACCGAGCTCTGCAGTAGTGATGACACACCAAAGAAGATGATGGAAGTGGGAGGTTATCGAAAAGAAAGGGTATCACTCAAATAAATAGTGTCGCAGTGCATGCAAGACGGCCAATGTGTTATCCATCCTCACTAGTCAGTACCCATGTGCGCGCAGGCATAGATTTCGGATTTGACGGAGATGCTGGGCGAAGGGGCGTCATTCGGTATTCGTCGAAATCACCATCACAATGTCGGTCGATTAGTCTTGGCTCGAAGCTAGTGCTGTTGTAAGTAGCAGTTGTTGCACTAATTTAGCTTGGCAGAATGGTATCCGAAGTTCATATAAGACACGGGGCGATTCAGCGTGTAAGAAAAGCGATATTTGAAATATTGAACGGGATCATGCGTATTGAATAATCCTCAACCCTTTCTAAGATGTACTGACAATTTCAGAGAAAGGCTTCTAAGCCTTTTTTTCATGTCCGTCTCCAACTGGCACAGTTTTACCGTAGAAAAGGGAGAAGATACTTCGCCCTCTTCTTTCTGCCCACACGATCTAAACGCTCCTGGCGTCATTTCTGGAAACTCCATAGCTATGTGGCGTTTGGTGTGGATCGCTAGCTGGTTCACCAGGCGCTGTACACGGTGAAGCTCGCCCATGACCCGCTGTGCGGCTATACGCTGTACATCTTCTTCTGCGGCACCGACCTTGGCATTTCGAACTTCAGATTCACTTGCGGCTGCGCCGTAAGAGTCGAGGATCTTGAAGACAATGAGTGAGATTATTGTGAGAAGGTAACCGTCATTCAAGCACTGGCACTGCAGCATGGTATCAACTTGGTTAATGTACTGCTTGTTTGCTTCGATAACTCGGTCTAGGGCTGGTCCAGCTGCATTGGTCACTCCTTCTTGTTTGAGGAGCTTACAGGAGATATTTGAGGAGCCTAAAGTGGATTGGTGGAATTGTTGTTGCATGATTTTTGTAGCTTGCGTGAGGCATGTGTCGAGCGCTGGGGTAGTGAGATTTGGAGCTGAGGGTTGTGACTCGATGCCTGGTTCGAGCACGGGAGGCATGTCAACACTGGACGTTTCGTAGACTGTGGGGGCCCAGAGGCTCACGGATGATGGCAGGTTGCCACCCGGGTCCATGGCCAGATTTACGGGTGATGCGGCGCCAGGCCCGAATCCCGGAGAGTTTGACGATGTACAAAGAGTAGTTGCGGCAAACGTTGGTTGGACCGTAAAAAGACCGTCGTTAGGTGTGGTAGAAGTCCAGTCGTAAGCAGATTGACTATAAGTGGCTCCAGGAAAGGAGGAGGTTGGGGTGAGGAATTGGTGCAAGAAGGTTTCGTTGTCGGTCGAGTATGTGGACGACATTGGAGTACTTGTGCTAAACGATGAATCGAAATCGAATTGTTCGCAATGTAGCATCGATGCAGCAAGGGGAGAAAGGGTGGCAGAGTCGGAGCGACGGCCAGTGCGTTTGGTGGCCAGGTAATGGCAAGGAGTACCACGCCTCTGGCAACGCGAGCATGTTGGCTTCTGCTTGTGGCACTTCACCTTTGATGCGGCACAGGCTTCACAGCTATCACGCAACTTGAGCGCCATGTCGGTAATACTAGCCCGGTTTGCTTTGGAACACGATGACAAAGACGAGAGATTGGCTGGTCACAATCGTTATGGATTGAAATTATATATGAGTAGTTGGTCTACACCGGTGAACATAGCTCTAGGATAAGTAGTTACAATCGCCACTTCTACACAACACGTCACCGTGTCGCCAATTTTGGTTACTACGTACATAGTTGAGGTTGTCATATGTCACGTTAGCCAGTCAGCGGTAGCAATGGCTGGTAACGGACCACTAATCCGACAACGGCGCTATTAGGAGTATCTATCTGCCTGAGGATCACGAGGCCGCCGTGGGCATCGTGGATGCTGCCAACAAGCTCGACTAACTCCTGTAGTGTTAACAGGCCGCTCCCAGTCAGCTGTAGGCAAGCCAAGTCGCGCAGGCGTGCGAGCAGCTCAGTCTGACGTGAGACGGCGCCTGGCTCCGGCAGCAGAGGACATGTCAAAATCAGTATCGCGCTTCGCTGGGCCTGGAGGACGGGTAGGTGGGCGCGCAGTTCGGCTTCAATGTGAGGGCGGATGGGTCCAGGGATGGCTGCAGGTACGCGCATGAGGTACAGGGCGGCGTCGGCCACTGTGTGTGGTGTGCCGTGCACTCGCTGACATAGGTGGAGGTTGTTATGGCTGGTGGCTGTGGCTGTGACGTTTATCTGCGTCTGCACAACGAAGATCAGGGCGGGATGGCTTTCCGCTAGCGCTAAAACCACCCCTGCCCCTGCCCCCGCTGATCCACGTGACAGGGGTGAATCCCCCACATCGTCGACCCCAGCAACCTGAACCACTGTCACCACCACCTTTGGCAGCGAAAGGGTGGCGTCACGAGCCACACTCGTCTAGTCAATCTGTGCCAAGATGGGAGTGTCTTGATCGCCACCGCCCATGGCCCCACCAAAGCTTGACCACAGCCGTTGCACTCGCTGGTTGCTCCAGTCAACCGCAGTTCCTTCACTCTGAGGGTGTCGCGACATAGCCGCCATGCGCAGCATACAAGGCGCCACCGTCTCGGCCAAGAACATGGCTGCGTCCAGTTGGGCCAGTTGGCGAACGAAGCTAGCGGAAAGGGCGGTATGTGCAACGAAGCCAGCTCGCGGTTCGCGCAAGAAGCCGCTCATGGTTGTGAGACGAACAATCCGGCACAGCTGCGCCTCAGGCACATCGGCCAGTTCGGCCACATCCTTGATAGGCAGCCCATCCTCTGCCTCGATTGGGAGATAGGCTAGCACTTGGAACTCGCCTAGCCATTGCACACATGCTAGAAGCTGGTTCTACGCTCGTGTCAGCCAGTGCCTTGCAACAGATAACTATCCATCTCAAATCAGATTGAACTATTGGAAGAAAGTCAGTCAGGGGGATAGAGGTGGCCATACCTGGTTTGCAAGCCGCTGGACAAACATAGTCGGCTCGAATTGGAAGAGCAGCGACTGGACGCAGTCCAAGGCCGCGCAAATGCTCGCTGTGTCTGATAGCCCCGGTCCGCCGAGCACCGCATCGCGACATCGGTTTGCGACAAGTTCAGCTGCGCTCACGAGATCAGCGCCAAGTCTCGAAGCCATGCTGGGCCTTGACAAGAACTCGATGAACAAAAGCGATCAAAGACAGCTAAATACCCGTACGGGCACACGGGATCCGAATCTCCCATACTCCGACATGCGGTGGGCAGCATACGCCCTAGGGTCCTGGTCCCCCAGGCTTTGTTGCAAGAGAGCCCCAAGTTTTGCTTTGCATTCAAAATGCACGGGTATGACTTGCATGCAACCCTAGCTGAGACTAAACAAAGTACACAATCGGTGATTGCCCCACACAGCGCCCTTATCTCCTTCGTACGCAAAACCACTAGTCTTGTTGATACCTTTCAGGCGCTAAATGGTTTCGCCGACCAAAAGATGCACTTTCAGCTTACCGGCGCCACCGAACACCTTGTCGGCACGGCCGAGAAGCTGACGGTTGCAGCCTGCTATTCGTATGAGAATGTCTTCTTTGCCATAATCCAGAAACTAGGGGTTTGATCGCAGAATATGAGCTATCTGCTACAGGTGCATCTACTAGGCTTACTATGCAGGACATTAACATGATGGGTATTGATAGCTGCAAACGCGTGAAGAAGATGTGGGATAAACTACTCGGTTCTTCAGACCTGGGGCTAGAAAAGATGTTTCATACTTCAAGGCCTAATTTTGTCATGGTCGAAGGCCGTTTGCTAGAGATATAGATAGAAAATACCTGCAACGAATTGACTTATTCCAAGTCGATCAAGTTTGATTTATTTATAACCGCTGCCAACCTGCATAGTCCTTTTAGTTATCAAGAATGGAAATTATTCCAAGAGCATCGGAACCGTAAGGTTGTCAGGATCCTTGGGTCATGTATTCGTCGTTAGCCTTGTATAGGTGAGAAGTAACCAATGAAACCAGGATAGGCCCTTCCTGCTGTATAACAATCTAACATTCTTAAATGCTGAACTTGCAACACTCGCTCTTGACTACTTCAAACTTTGATATCGCTAGTTACAAGTGGCTGAGTCAACCCGTATACTTCCCAGACCTCGGTTTAATATACACTTGCCTACCATGACGTATCACCACATCGATGAGTACCAGTCCCCACAACACTGAGTCGACGACTTGGTTAACCAAGGCCCGACTGTGGATGTAAAGCGCCCCGGATAAAATGCTTCGGTTCCGAGGTACGTTGTGATATCCAATTCACCCTTCATGAACAGACAGCTCACATACGTCTGCAGACCCTTGCCCTCATCCAATCTTCAATGTTCAGCTAGGCTCTCCAGCATCCCAGGATAGCTTTTGCAGTGCGATCCTCGTCCATTCGCCTCCATCCACAAGGTGAATGCACACTAAACATCAGGTCATTGCCTCCATATTACCGGATAGGAACAAATAGGTTGATCTTCGGCACTGCCGTGCCCGAAGCAATTTCAAAGTAGTACAGGTAGCCCTTAGGCGCCTTGCTTGGCTCCCCAAAGTCGAGACCGGTCTCTAGATCTGACTCTGCAGGCGCCTCGGCATCTTCAGGAAAATCGTCTCCAAGCCTATTGATAGTTTTCATGAGAGACGCTAGTTGATCTAGAAGCCCCTCAACTTCGGGCGAAGCTATAACGCCTCCTAGTGCCATTATATGCCACGCTGACGCGAAGCTTGTCTGCGTCGTGTGAAAGTATCACTTTAGACGTGAACTCTCTAGCGCAATATTTTCGACAGCTAGTGATATTGGCGTAAGATTCTGGCCATATGGGCTTGTGGCGAGGAACTGGTCGAGGGCAGTGCGCGCCGGTGTTGTGAAGGCGGCTGCTGGAGCCCCGCAGTCAGATTTGCACCCCAGATTCAGCTTGTCTGCCCACATTCTCCACTGTTCCAACGGCATGAGGCTAGCCTGGCCAAATTTGCGCGGGAAGAAGTACGATTTAATGGCCTTTTCTTTGTCATGGAACTCAATAGCAAGCTTCATGCTGGTATCCAAATGGCCTTTATGTGCAGCCTCTGTCATGTAAACGGCATGATCGTGGTCGAACAGGGTTGCCAAAAAGGAGCAAGCCCAAGTGCTGTCCATGCCTGGCAGAAGATTTTTGAGACCAAAAGAGCAGCTCGCACGACGCCTGCTGGTTCAACAGATCTAGCTCAGTTCCTGCATCGCGTCCAATGGGCTCTACGAAGTAGCGCACATTGGGTGTACAGCCAGCTTTGGACGTATTCCAATTCCATGAGTATCCAGTGGGTGCTCCATCTAGGGTCAAGAGCGATTTCCAAGCGCTAGTTGAGGAACGCTGCGACAGCCCGGCAGCGCGCCCCATGTACGGCACCGTTCAATGACAGTGGAACAGCAATGCTTCGTACTGCTTCTCGAGAGGACATCCCACCGCATCCATAATTGCAGCCAAATGGCGGCCTGCAGTTGCCACCATGTGTCACTATTGCCATCCCGAGAGGGCAGGCGCTTTTCCAATGCTTTCCATGCTTCAGTCATTGCGCCATGAGTGAGAAGTCGCGTTATGTTGAGACGACAAGGCGAAGGTGATGTTTTTTTTTCAAGATAAATCTTGATGTTTTGCGGTAGGTGCAAAATAAAAGATCCACACAATGTTCTTTATATGCAACACGACGCTTACACAACCTATATGCGTTTCGCACCATAACACATTAGAGAAACATCGCAAAAAACACCTAATTTGATTAGATCCGAGAATAGAACCATATTATACTTCTTCATGGCAAAGAAAGCACAGAAGCCCCGTCCTGATGCCGGTGTACGACCCTCCAGTAAGTGACGATAGTGCGCCTTGGATCACTTATATCCATGTAATTGTGATACCTGGCTCTTTTGCGTTCAACTCATCAACAGATTTGGCTTCTAAAAAGGATACCAATTATTATCATTTTTTATCATATTTTCGTCATTCCAAGCAAACAAAAAGGATACGCTACGCTCTTCTTCTGCTGACTACAGCTGTCCATGCAGTTGCGTCCTCCCCATTCAGTTGTGTAAGTTACTCTCCCGCATCGTTTTCATATTTCAAATCATCAAAAACACGACGTTTTGTGGTGGCTGCTTTTCCCGACAACCGGGAGAAATAAGAACAGAATTTGACCCCCAATGCTCCTTGGTCGATTATCATGATCCATAACCTAGATGCCTACTTTCTACGAAGCTCTACTAACACAATTGTTTACGGTACAGTGCACAAAAAACGTTGTAGACGATTAAGTGTCAGCTATTCGCGGGCAGAGTCGAATATCATGAGTAGCTCAATAAGAAACTGCATGAATGACTAAGAAGAGCGAACTATTTGTTGCGGCACATACTATGTTTTCATATCAATTGTTCCCACGCCTTTGCCCTGACATTAGTGGGGCGTTGACCTCGCCCAACCCCAGTGGTGATGTCGAGCACGCAACACGGCTGGAGGCATTGAACGTTCCACATCAACGTCAACCGCGGATCATGACCAATCGCACTAACACATCTAGAAGCTACACCCACTCAATTGCGAGAGCTCACCATGCAGAAAGCGCTGAGGAATGAAAACATGGCATTGTCCTTTCCTTAGAGTCGCAAGTTCCGTCTGCTCATTAAGGATGTCGTTTGTACCTTCCTAGGCAAATAGATCAACTTTTTTTTTCAATGCGACGGCTGCTTTGGCCAGTTCTCAACTGAGACTAAGACGGCTGACCGTGAGGTAGGTGCAGATTGCACAAGCCGCTGTCGCTGGTATACGTGTACTTCGTCCACGACTTCATATCCGCTGTCACTCCTTCATTTACCTATAGGACTAGGACTCTATCATCAGTGTCTTGGGCGAAGTCTCCTTGGAATCCGGGCAAGTATCCACAAACCTAATTGGGATTCTCAAGGGTTTTCAAAATGCAATCCGTGCCCAATTCGAGAAACTGGTATGGGATGATTTTTCAGCAAGAGAACCCCAAGTCCTTACCGGACTCTTCAGCAACTATTCAAGTTTCTCTCTGAATCATTTCGATGGATTTAGAATTGTTATTCGTTCTATAGTCTCAAATGATTCCTTGGAAAATACATTATTCACATCGCGTCGCCAAGCTTAGGTTGAGCGCATTAATACATGTGGCAAGTGACGCAAGGCAAGTTCTCAGTCATGTGAAGGACGACTGGTGAATCGAAATTTTCAGTGCGTAGCCTATTGAGTTATGAGTTTCTCATGCCGCGATGAAGCTTCCCCAAATTTGATCGATTCCTTTTCACGGCATGCTATGCTGATCGACGTATGCTGGGACCTTGATAAGACTTCACAAACACATGAGAGATAGAAACGAATGTACCACCAGAATCTCAGAGAGAAACATGGGTTTAATAAGACTTCTCAACTCAAATGGCCTTTTTTAACGATTCGCCACGTTCTTAGATCATGTTCCTCCATCAAAGCAATTCCAAGGGCAACGGGAGTCACTGCTTAAGCAGATTTAATAAAAATTCAATCATTCGCCATGGCAAATCAATCGTCGCGGTATACACTTGACCACTATGATTCGCATTCTTATAATTGGATGCATATCAATTTTCTCATTGAAACGAAAGCTGTAGCCGCTACCGTGGTGAAAACAACGCTACAAGCCCCAAGTCGGCCGCAAATGCCATACCAAGAGGTCAAAAACCCAGTCATCAATTCCCACATCAATCATCAGCATGACCAAAACTTCACACAACCTTCTTGTCCTCACCCCCCTTACTCTCACGGAGCTCCAAATATTCTTTCGCTAACCCCTTGTAATCCCACGGCTTATACGGCTCAAAAATCTCCGCAATCTGATTCCTCTTGCGATGCGTCTCAATGCCCACATCATTCAACAACATGTCTATATACGGCATCGACTCAAACGTAAAGTCCGGGATAGAGTCCCCGTAGCCGCACGGAAACCTGTATCTCCCCCACTGCGTGTGCTTTAGGACTTCTGCGGCGATTTCTTGTTCCGTGGAGGCAACACGTGCTAGCTTGCCGTCGAAGAAGGCGGAGATCCAGAGGCCTTGGGTGGAAGCGAAGAGTGCGGTGCTGGTGGTCGATACCATGCCTGCGAATACAAGGTTTCGTTGGTTGACCAGGGCGGGAGGCACCATGAAGCGGTACATGCGGTAGAGGTCGTCGTCTTTGCGCTTGTAGCGGAGGACGGGTTGGTGTTTGAGCCCTGGGAACATTTCGAGAATCTCGCGGTTGGTTTTTTCGATCAGTTCGGCTTTTTCTTGACCAGATTGTGCCAGACCAATGCCGCCTTGGGGCAGATTTGAGAAGGTAAAAGGCACGTCTTTTTTCCAGCCGGTGGCGCAGATGAGGACGTCGGTGGGGATTTGCTCGCCGTCTGTGAGATGGACGGTTTTTCCGTCGAGCTTGGAGATGTCCGCGATGTGTACGCGTACTTTACCCTCTTTTACTAGATCGAAGAAGTTGGTCTCGAAGTTGTGGATGCCGAGGCCGCTGCCGGTCCAGAATACTGGATTCCATGGTTTCAATTTGAAGACTTCGGGGTGGCTGTCATATCCATTTGTCTCAATTATCTCGGCTGACATGTTGTTCCAATAGTTATCGGTGAGCAGCCTTCCCATGCCAGTACGGTGGAGGAAGCCACGCGGTATCGCGAATCCGTCCTCGTCTCCCCATGCACACGGGCTGAACCAAGTCAATGCTCGTGTGTGAAGAAGCTCCTGCATGTCCCTTTTGAATGGTGTCGCATATGGCTGGGCGAGCCATACTGGGCCTTGTCCTGTTGGCCGTATGATTAGGTTTACAGTGGCGTTGCCTTCGGTCGCAAAAGCATATGCAATGTCCATTGCAGATTTGCCGCCTCCTACTACGACAGCAGTGTTGGATGTACCAACCGTGTCTGAGCGCTTGCAGAATTCTTTAGCGTGGAAGAAGGGTGATTCGAACGTGTCGGCTCCCTCGTACTCGGGGATGTTGGGTTGCGAAGTGAGTCCGCATGCAAGCACCAATCTCTTGGTCCTGACCGTCTCTGGTTCACCACTAGCATTTACCACCTTTACTAGCCATCCACCGGTGGAGCTAGGTTCGATCTCCTCCACCTTAGTGTTCAGTCTCGTTCGCTCATAGACGCCAAAGTGTTTCGCAAAGTCGGTCAGATAGCGGTGAAGCACCGCGGCGGGGATGTGCTGGCCTTCTTTCACGCCATATACTGATTCCAGCATGGGAAAGTCGGGGTATTCGTACGACCCGTAAAGATTGTTCGACTTCAGCCCGGGGTAGAGACGGTCGGCTGACCATGTCCCGCCAAAAGAGCTCGAGCCATCGAGGACTACAACATCTTCACCGGGATGAAGTTCGATGTAAGATTTTGCGGCAGTGAGACCAAACCAGCCTACGCATCATTTTTTAGCTTGGCATTCGTGAGTTGGGAAGTCACGGCAATGACATACCAGCTCCAACCACGACAAGATCATGTTCGGCACCCATTTCCAGTTACCTATCTTGATCAAATCGTTGTGAAATTCGAAGTTTTGATCAAGAAGTGAAGAAAGCTTAGATTACTTGAACATCAAGCACGCAATTGTTCTCAGTACAATCAGAGTGGCCAGTTGAGACACGAGGTTTTCGAGGTGATGGTGTTCGGGGTTAATCAGTCGATACGAAGGAGCACACAAACGAATAAATCCGTCATCAACGGGTGCCGGCATGTTCACCTGCTACTAATATGTAGCATGCCACTTGAAACGTGGAAAAACGTGACTGAGCTCTCGCATGGAGGACTAGCCGACTGGGACGGAAGGTGTCGCATTTGCGGAATTTGTCTCGCGTGGCATGCTTCCAAACAATCAACTCACGGTCGGACGAGAGACACGCAGCTGGGGTACACGGAACGCGAGTGGTACAAGCGGCATACCGCCATGCACCCCAGTCTAGTCTTCACGGTATTAGGCCCCCGAAACATCATCCTTTCGGCGCCACTAACTTTTCTCTTAGTGTGTCGGACTAGCCGCATTCACGACGGAACAACCGAGCGCATTCAATTCGTCATGAGCTTTGCTCTGGAACAATAGTCGATCTGCAGCGTTTCTGGAAATTAACTTTCTGCTTAGCCATCAACTTCATTCTCGCATTACCGAGGGGAGATGATTGCGGGCTGGATTAATGTTGGTTTGGAGGAAGATGTCAGCTAGAGCTTCACGTGTCCAAATTTCATGCCTTTTCGCCTCTGATTTCAAACCCTGGGCACTGGAGATTGAGCAGAGTCCGCGAACTAAACTCGTTGTCTCATAGTCGTAGTGCTCCGAACCGAGTGATTGGTATCCCACACGAAAGGAATGGGGATAAGATAATGCAAACACCAGCATGACACGTTCATTTCATTGTATCCAAGGGTTCAGTTCATATGCAAAATTTATTCCACTTCAAAAATCAAGTATCAATCTGTCGTCCGATATGCAAGCCACCTGTGATCGCAATATCCGTGCCCGTCGTATAGCTCGACGCATCACTCAAAAGGTACACTACCGACCCCACCAAGTCATCCGTCGTACCAATGCGCTTGAGCGGCGGTGCATTGAACATCAAATCCGCAACCTTCGGGTTGTGGTCCCGTACAAATTTGGTCTGCTCGGTGTCAATGAAGCCAGGCGATATCGAGTTGACCCGGATCCCGAGAGGCGCTAATTCTGTAGACAGTACTTGAGAAAGCATCCTCACTGCACCCTTCGACGCTGAGTAGGCAGACATTCTGTGGCTTGGGAGTACGGTATGTGATGTGATAGAGGCAATCAAGACGGCGGATCCCCCGGTTCCTTGCTTTTCGATTTGCTCGGCGAACAGCTGTGTCGCCATGTATGTGCCAGTTACCTGCCATGGAATATTAGCCAACCCATTGAGTTCAAGACAAGAAGCAGAGGCTTACATTGATTTGCAGTATCTTGTTTACTTCTGCACAAGTGGTTTTTGCAAACGGCTTCTCGAGCGCGATCCCTGCACTAGTCACGAGACCATCCACCCTTCCCAGGCTCTGAACTGCGTCCGCAAACGCCTTTTTGAGCGAACTTTCATCTGCCACATCGGCGCGAAAGTATGGGATCTTGACACCGGTTTCCTTGCCCAGTTGTGCAAAATGATCAAGTGGCTTCTCTTGAAGATCCAGGACGGCAACATTGGCGCCCATTTCAGCAATTGCTTTCGTCAAGGCCAGTCCGATGCCTTGGGCGCCACCTGTGACGACATAATTGCGTCCAGTGAGCTCGAATGATGCGCGCACTTTGGAAGTCATGTTCAAAGAATTGCTCTGCTTATGCTGTAGTTGGTTAATGCGGTGTTGTCGATTGGCAAGAGTGAATGCTAGCTGACTACACATGTCAGTGAACGCCTTCCTTTTCTGCGGGGGACCACCAACCTTCTTCGGTTCTTGTTTGACTTGAATGGAACTTCGCTCAACATAAAGGCACTGCTTCACTGAATGCCCTTGCTATTTCCTTTTCTTCTTCGAGGCGTGCACTTACACGTGACATCGGATGCTGACATAATGTACTCCGGAATGGTGTAGGAAGTTCCGACCGTGTGTCGCAACCAACGGGCGATCGCAAGCGAGTTCCAGATCGACTCCACGACAAGTCAGCTACGCTGTCGCCGGCCGCGCCCAACCCTGAATCCGTGGGCTAGGAGGTCGCGTGAGGGGCATCAAGGTTGGAGAGGATATCAAGAGCCCGTAGGCCAATTTTAATCGTTAAGTTCATGCTTTAGAGCTGCGAACATTTGCTTCAACATCGCATCAGCGGATCTTTACCACTGCTGGAGCTCAATCATATTTCAATTTGCAGCGACCCTTCAGATAAACACCACAAGACACCATGACTCAACCAGGATGGCGCGCGCTCAATGTGGGCATCATTGGCGGAGGGATTGGAGGTCAGGCATCTGCCATTGCCCTTCGACGGCAAGGGCACATTGTGACAATCTACGAACGCGCAGATTTCGCGGGAGAAGTTGGAGCCTCCATATCCTGCGCTGCAAACGGCACAAGGTGGCTCGAGGAATGGGGAGTGAACATTGAACTTGGTGACCCGGTAATCCTAAGGCAGCTCATTAGCCGCGACTGGAAGACTGGCGAACCGGCGAGTGTCTACGACCTTCATGACTACAAGGAAAAATGGGGCTATGTAAGTGGTTCGGATCTCGTCTGGGACTAGTGACTTATGTCTGGTAGAACTACTACATGTTCCACCGGCAGTACATGCACGCCATGCTTATGGATAGTGCGGTTGGCCAGCGTGGAGAAGGCGTGCCCGCAAAACTCAAAGTTAATCACAAGGCCAAAGACGTGAACCTCGAAACTGGCGAGGTCACATTCGAGAACGGTGTCACGGCCAAACACGACGTCATTATCGGCGCTGATGGCATTGGTTCGACTGTTCGGAATGTACTTGGCATCAAAGTCGACAAGGTCCCAGCATCCTGGAGCTGCTTGCACACCAACGTAGACACTGATGAAGCTGTCAAGCTCGGGCTGGTCGACTACTCAAAGAACGCTGCAATCGAATACTGGGGTGGGTATCACTCGCACTACAAGATTGTCCTTTCGCCTTGTAATGGTGGAAAACTTCTCTCTTACTACTGCTTCTTCCCGCGTGAAGCGGGTGACTTCCAGAATCAATCTTGGGATGAGGCTGCCACGCTCCCAGAGTTGCTCGCGCCATATCCAGACTTGGACCGCCAGGTCTTCAAGCACTTGGAAATTGGCTATGAGATCCGACCATGGAGGCTTTGGAAGCACCAGCCGTACCCGTACTGGCAGAAAGGAGTAGCCTGCATCATTGGAGATGCCGCACACCCGGTATGTTAGCTACCATGATTGGATGAAAGTTCGACGCTAAAGATTTGTAGATGATGCCTGATCAGAGTCAGGGAGCCTGCCAGTCCATCGAGGACGCCGGAGCTCTTGGTACAATTTTCAGCAAGAAGAACTTCAACGGCAACATTCGCGAGGCTCTTGAAGTTTTCGAAGAGGTCAGAAAACCGAGAGGAACAAAGGTGCAGGCGGCCTCGGCGCGAGCGAGTGAGAACATACACGAGCGCATTGGCTTCTCTAGCAACAAGCAAGATCCTCACTACACCGTCCAGGATGAGAAAAACAAACTCACAATTGAGGAGATGAACACGTGAGTACTATAATTTGGAGATGATGCTTTTACTGACGCTGAATATAGGTACGATATGCACAAAGACGTGGCGGAGAAACTGGCTGCTCGAAGGGGTACGAACGGAATCAAGGCTTAGGGAGTTTTGGGGCGATTCGCAGTGTACTATCTTGGTCATGTTCAGTACTTTTGTAGATTCCGAAAACCTCGATGGCAACCATGGACAAGATTAGATCCAATGTCTCAACATGAACCGGAAGAGTCGATGGAATATCTGTGTTCAGTGCGTGTGATGCTCATGGTTGGGGTTTCAACACCCAAGTGTCTTCTCCGCATGCTCCAAAATCCGCCGGAACGCTGTGCGGAAGGAGCGCGCGGCCTCCGGAATGTAATGAGCCGCGGGTACCACCCCGAAACGGCGTTGCGTATAGGCCATGAATCGCGACACGGCCGATCAAGGATCAAGGGTCTGAACGATCAAGGGTCTAAACTAATCATCGTGGGCAACTGCGGGCATCAAAGATAATAAATGTGATTGAGCTCTTGCAGTTTTTCACAGACATTGAACCCATTGCACACAAAGAACAAGATGATGCGACTTTTCAGGAAATCAGGACAGCTACCCAGAGCCCTCTGCAAAAACTACCAGCAAGCTCGATCCTTCCACTTGACAGGCTCTTTGCGAAGTCGCGATGCGTACCAAATCCCCCTCATCATTAACGGCCAAGACGTAACGACCAACACATCTTTCGAAGTCCAGAGCCCCGCCACTGGAAAACACATCTGGAACTCCTCATCATGTTCAGAACAAGATGCCCTTTCCGCTGTCGCAGCAGCCGAAAAGGCATTCCCGGCATGGTCGCAGACCAAACCGTCAGCCCGTCGAGACATTTTCTTGCGAGCTGCCGACATTATTACCAAGCGCAAGAGGGAGCTGGGAGATTACATGCACCATGAGATTGGAGCGGACCAGTACTATCAAGACTTCATTTTGGGCTTGTCGATTGAAGGGCTGAAGGATACGGCTGGGAGGATTCCAGAGGCAGTGCAGGGCTTTGTGCCTCACGTGAAGCAGGATGGTGCGCATGCTATCGTTTATCGCCAGCCTTATGGTGTGGTGCTAGGAATTGGCCCTTGGTGAGTTGCAACACCTCCCCAAACTCCTGTACTCTGTCTGTACGATTCGAATACTATGAATGAGGCTGATACTTTTGATCGTGCGACAGGAATGCTCCCTACCACCTAGGCTTCCGCGCAATCACATTCGCGCTCGCCACGGGCAACACGGCGATTCTCAAAGGTCCAGAGCTATCACCGCGGTGTTACTGGGCTATTGCAGATGTCTTCAGAGAAGCTGGGTTACCAGATGGAGTGCTCAATCTCCTGTTCCATCGACCTGCTGATGCGCCCAAGATTACAGAGACACTGGTTGCTCATCCAGCTGTGCGCAAAATTAACTTTACGGGAAGCTCGCATGTGGGAAGTGTGATATCTTCTATTGCTGGGAAGCATCTCAAGCCAGTACTTATGGAGTTGGGTGGCAAGGCAAGTGCCATTGTCATGAAGGACGCTGATCTTAGTAATGCCGCGGAGCAATGCACGCTGGGTGCTTTCTTGAATGTAAGTGACACTGTTATGAATCAAGTGAGCTGTTCGACTGTTTCTGACATTTTTGCAATAGGCTGGCCAGATATGCATGTCTACCGAGCGCATCATCGTCCACTCGTCCATTGCGGATGCTTTCAAGTCGCAACTCAAGCAAGTCATCAGCAAGACCTTTGGTGCTGCAAACAACTGCCCGGTCGTCATTACCAACGCCTCTGCAAAGAAGAACAGAACACTGGTACAAGAAGCGTTAGACAAGGGCGCCAGTCTCATCTACGGTAACCCTGCCGTAGTCGACACGAACGTCGAATCGAAGATGTCTCCAGTCGTCCTCGGCAACGTTACTCCCGACATGAACATCTATGGCACCGAGTCATTCGGTCCAAGTGTATCGCTATATACCTTTGACACTGAGGAAGAAGCAATCGCACTGGGTAATGACACTGAATATGGTCTGGCTGGTGGGGTCTTCACGGAGGATTTGAGGGCTGGCCTTCGGGTTGCGAAGCAACTGAACGTTGGAGCTGTTCATATCAATACGATGACTGTGCATGATGAGTTTGCTTTGCCGCATGGTGGGTTTAAGAAGAGCGGGTTTGGTAGGTTTAATGGAAAGCAAGGACTGGAGGAGTTTGTGCAGTATAAGTCTGTTACTTGGGTAGATAGCACTCAGAAGTAGTACGTACTGTACGTGGTCAGTGCGTGCAATAGTTCACTCAATGCAACACTATTTTACTAAGAAAATCATAAGAATTACAACTTTTTAAAGCTTAATAACTTTTTTATCTTCTATTAATAATTTTAAGTTCTAATACTAAAGTTCTACAGCTTTTTATTCTATATCGTAGTAATATAAGAAAATGAATTTAGATTTAAGAAATTTAAAGACCATTTATTATATTATGTACTATAGAGAATAAAAGGTTATAGAACCCTAACCCTAGAACTTAAAATTATTGATAGAAGTTAAAAAAGTTATTAAAGAGAGAAAAATTAGAATTTGCTAGTGAAACGTGTTGCATTGGGTGAACTGTTGCACGCACTGACAATACAGTATAACATTTTGAGCGTTTTGTGAATACGGTTCCATCAACTATATCCAACGATATTGTGAGGTTCAATTTTCTTTCGCCAATTTTCGTTAGCTAGTGTCACACCTGAAAGCACCGTAGTGAGTAGTGTAGACGTGAAGTCTAGGCTCCATATCGCCACCGTGGGTGTAGTGTAGGTAAGGTCCGACCTCCACATTTCCACCCCGCCAGCCACGCGTCGAGAAGGTTTACGAGCAGGCCTAGAACTCCAGCCCCATGTAAACAGTAATGCCCTCATTTATCATCAAATGCGGGGGTGGCTTCGCTCGTACCAGGCGATCTATAATATCAAGGGTGATTGCCCGGGCGATTGCCCGGGCGAAGCCTAGGAGTCGGTCCACTTACTGTACTTAGTCCCAGTGTCCGGGCCGTAATCTGGGCCGTCTTACAGCAGGCCCCGCAACCGTTGTTTCCGCTGGTATACTGCGCTCGGCCACATACGACGGAACATATAGGGGCCACTATCGAAGTAACAAATGCTAGATTACTCAGTTTTCTATGCTACAAACGTCCTTCCCATATTACACCATTAAGTAGCTATTCTTGTCCTCTTGTAATAGGAACTTTTTATAACTCTATGCGGTTTTCTGCTATAGAGCTACATGCTATTTAAAGTTTGTTGAGATGCTTAAAACCTATTCTATATAGGATGTTAATCAAAACAGAATGAAAATCTTAACTTCTTTCAGTAATATAACACTAATAAATTTAGGCGCGTATATTCTGAGCTGATTGCAAAATAGCTGTAATACACCTAGTTGTGATCCCAGCATGTTCCGTCGTATATGCCAACCCGCAGCATTGTCTGCACGCAACCCATTCGTCAACGCCTGCTGAGTGGTTTCCGGAGTCGAGAACAAGCTGCGTATCTACACAGAGTGTCGGGCCCCACGCAAAAACCCCCCAATCTCTCAGAGTCCATGGGCCTGCCACACTATCTGTCGCAGGACTGACTCAAAATATCTTGATAAGCCCTGACTCTTTCGGACAAGTCAAGCGCTTGTTCGGAACGGCCGCGTATAGCGCCGTCACGTGCTTTGTAACCTCCTCTCCCTATAACCGTGTCGCTGTTCAGCGCCACGGCCATCTCTGCTTCCACAGATTCTCTCACTTTACTGAGGTGACTGTGTGATTCTTCCTTGTGCCGATATGCAGACGCCGCAGCGTCGTTCGACTGAACTCTCGGCTTCAAGGCTGGAGCACTTTTCCACAAACCCTAGCAACAAGAAAGCCATGTTCGAACTCAAGGGTGGTGATGATGATCATGGCGTCGGTGAGGTTACGAACTTTGATATGCAGGCGGGGCATGCAGAGGTGAGTTACCGCTAGTAGCATCGACTTATCGCGAACTGGATTGCTGATTTCCGCAGCCGCCGAAAGTGTATGGATTCTTCTCCATGATGGCACTTGCAGTGTCTTTGATGGCGACGTGGGAGGCGCTTTGCAGTACAATGGGATCTGGTCTCGTTAGCGGCGGGCCAGTATCTCTCGTCTATGGATTCATCGGTACGATTCTCGGAAACTGCACTAAAGTTCGATGCTAACAATTTCGTGTAGTGTCCTTCGCTGGAAACATGTTGACCAGTATGTCACTGGCCGAGGCTGCAGCCATGTGAGTAGCATTAGTGCCATATTATTCAAGCGTCATTGACAATTTCCCATCAGGTTTCCTTCCGCAGGCGGCCAATATCAGTTTGTTGCCGAACTCAGCCCGCCATCAATCAGGCCCGCCCTGAGCTGGTACTGTGGATGGCTCACAGTTGTGGGATGGCACGCTTTCACAGCATCTGCTCCATTTGGAGCAGCCAATCTCACCTTGGGCTTGATCTCGCTCTCCAATCCTGATTTTGTGTCCAAGCCATGGCAAAATAGCTGTATCTATTGGGGAATTACCCTGGTAGCGCTTGCATTCAACCTCTGGGGCAACCGTATTTTGCCCTACATCCAGAACGCCATTCTCGCCTTTCATGTGGGGTTCTTTTTTATCATTTTCATTGTCCTGCTGGCTTTGAAGCCAGAAGCAAACAGCGCGAAATTCGTTTTCACCGAGTTCCGCAACAGCACTGGTTGGAGCTCTGATGGAGTCGCTTGGTTTCTCGGAATGCTGACCTCCTGCTATGTTATGATAGGTACGCACTCCGAGCACTTTCGCAATAAGTAGTTTGATCGCTAACTCATGTAAAGGCTACGACTCCGCAACCCACATGTCGGAAGAAATCCCCAACCCAGCCCGCAACATTCCCAAAGCGATGCTCCTCTCCATCGCCATCAACGGCACCATGGGCTTCGCCGTCCTCCTCCCTGTCCTTTTCTACATGGGCCCCCTCGACGCAGCCCTCGGCTCTGGCCCCTTCCCCATCATCCACATCTTCACTCGCGTCACAGGCGGCAACATCGCCGCCGCCAGTGCAATGACCTCCACTATCATCATCTCCGCCTCCTTGGCCACCTTCGGCCTTCTAACCGCGACTTCCCGCATCCTCTGGGCGTTCGCCCGCGACGGCGGAACCCCGTTTTCCACGGCGTTGGGGAGCCTGGGGAGTAAGAGCCAGATTCCCGTGACGTCGCTGT